CTCTCCCTCTCTCTCTCTCTCTCTCCCGCTCCATCCTCGCTGTCTTACTGTTGCAACATTTGTGAAAAAGACAGACAGAGCAGAGAAATTTGAAAACCAGTGAGCGCCGAAAGTAGTTGATATGCTCTCCTTCATCCCCTCCACCGGGCCTCTCCCCCCTCCATTGCCTCTCCTTCTCAGTCTCACTGCTCTGCCCTTTCCTCATCCTCCCCACCACTGGCAGTGATTCACCAGCTCTGGTGGCACAGCTCTTTCATACATCCTGGCTTATCAAGGACTGCAGGACTGTATGCCCGGCAACTTAGAGTTTGGGCTCATTGCTCTGACTCTCCCTTCCATTCATTCTGCTCCGTCTCTCCTCCCCTCTCTTCCTCAGTCTCTTCTTTTCTCTCTTTGTTCCCCTGGTTCCAAAAACTGCCACTCGGCCTCATTGTTACTCAGTAAGTCCCAGCTGACTGTCCAAAATCCTTAATGGTCTCTGGCACAATCAGGGAACCCAGGGTAATACGTGTGGTGCAGATGTTGTACAGACACTCAAGTGAGGAGGAAATCCTTCAAGATTTCAGGTTGTATCCGCTGTTGTGCAAAGGTAATGGACTCGTCATGGATGTGCTGTTGCTACACATGTACCGGTTACATTTTCTATTTTTTTTTAGAAGTTTTTTGGCACTAGTGGCCTTTTTTTTTAACAGTAATCTGACAGGAAGGGGGCTGAAGGCAGGACCGAGACTCAAACTTGAGTAGCCTTTGCGTCCGGGACGCTCACCAGTCACAAATTTGAGGCAGGATCAATATTTTTTTAAAGCTTTGGCTTAGTGATACCAACACATAATAACATAATGTAACAACACTGTATAACAATCCTGCCATAAGTAATATGTTGTTGTGATGCAGTTTGGTTTCCAATATTTTAAATTAAATTAGCTTCAGCACCTTAATTAACACGATGGCTCTTCTTTTGGTTTGAAAGATATTAAGCATTTACTTTATTTTTAAGTGAATCTCAGTTAGTCATGGGGTTGTGTTTTGTACAATTCAATTTGTACAATTCTTAACATATAAGCAGCACGGCTATGTTTCTCTATATTTTGAAATGTATTTTTCCCCCAACAAGCACCTGTGGGGTAAATTAAAAATAATGGCAGCATGAGCGTGTCAGTGGGGATGCGGTAGAGTGTCTCTGTTGATGTGAGAATACACTCTGCCACGGTGAGCCGTAAAGGCATCTTAATGCCAGCATGTTACACAGTTTTCTCAGTGAACATTCAGCTGCTTATTGGACCCCTGAATTGCTTAAGTGATCATAATTTATCTTAAATATTTCAAAGCTATCTGATGGTAATTTAGAATAAAAAATCACGTTGACTTGCGTGAGCAGTGAAAGGTAACAAAAACACGTTTCGATAACGCGCAAAGAGTGAATTTGCCGCAGTTTACCTTCAATTTTGTACAGTTTAGAAAACGCCTTACCCAGAAGAGTGTTGTGCGAGTTCACGAAGAACAAGTTATAAAACTGAACGTAGTACCGGTACTCATCAGCATTGCTCTTGTGGATTTTGAAGATGCTCTAAGAAAATGTCAATAGTGTGAGTCACAAGATAGTTAACAGACGGGCATGAACTCGTGTTGGGTGACGATGAAAGAGCTGTTATCTCTAACCCTTTCTTTTAAGCCTTCAAAGTCTTTGTTATAACTTTTTTCTTCAACATCCTTTTGCCCTTTCACTCCCTTTCTTGTCATAAGTCATGTGGACTTTACTGTAGGCATTTTACCCTCTGCTCGTGTTTGTTTGCACACTATTTGTTCTGCGGCGTTGTTGATAAATGAGTTAATGTTTTTCTATTGCCGATGTAACAAAAAAAAAAGGGGGACATAAATTCCCAATCAAGCCGTTTAGCTGAGAGCAGCCAGAGCAGAGTCCTAGACTGGAGCAGATCTCCAACATTATCTGTTGTCACGAGTTGCTCAGCCGTTTTTAAATCCTGAGTCAAGACACGTGCCAGAACATGCTCGCCACAATTTCCTCAATCGCAGATTTTTTTTTTTTTTTTTTTTGCTAAATAATGTTAAAACAATATCTGTATAACGTTACCGGTTTCCCACACCGCAGCGGCCTCTTGAATATGTTTCAGATTCTTGTCTTTCTCAGACATGATACAGAAGGACGGTGGGCTGATCAAGATTTTAGTGTCTCGGGCTTTTCGTGAAGCTATATTACACAGGTAGGTGATATATAGTGGCCACTGGTCATTTTATACTACGAGTCCTATAAATATTATTTCATTTAGCTGGAGGTGACGTTCCAGTTAGCCATCCTTAAGCTGCAGGATGGATGCAGCATCGTATTTTAAGCCATGCCACATGGAAGCTGTTAACACTGTGATTCTCAGAGAGAACCTCCTATAAAACCAGTAAAGGTCATGCATTAACTCATAACTTCTCACACCCACTTGAAAAAGGAATGTGGCAACCAAAGTGAGAGCCGATAAACTCCTGCGCCTCACAGAACTATTATACTCCCTTCAACTTTTTCTGTGTTGTTTTCACAACGGTTTTGATTTAAATTACGGTAGATCATTAATTGAACATTTTTGACCTACATTCAAAAGATTTAATATTATTGGGATTCTGTTTGCTTGACCAAGATTTTCACCCTCATATTTACTCTGCACAAACATGACTTCTTGTGACTTTCGTTCAACAATAACTTTCATTCTGCCATGATCACCATGTATGTGGAGTTCATGTCTAGTAGTTTTCCTGTCCACATATTCTCCGACCTGTGCTGTGGATCTCAGACGCTCCTCAAGAGCTACAATGAGCCTCTAAGCAGTTTTCTTTACTAATGCTCTTCTTACCCGGCCAGTCAGTTTAGGTGGACTGCAATGTCCTCACAGGTAAAGTAAATGTGTGCAGTTGAGCCACATTTACTTTATTTTCAGATGATGGGTTGAAAGCTTTTGACCTAATCCTGCTATAAACTTCTCTGTAGCTTTTTCCCTGACTCACTTGCTTTGTTCTTTGGTCTTCATCTCGCTGTTTGATTACTAATGTTCTCTAGCAAACCTCTGACGCCTTCGCAAAACAGCTGGCTTCATGGAGAGATTAAATTACACATAGACGGACATCTTGAGCAAGTTTTTTTTACTAGATTTTTGCTTAGGGGCATCAGATTGCAGACTTTTATTAGTTAAAAAAAAGATAAATATAATTTTCCTTTTACTTCACAATCATTCCCCTGTTTGTGTTGGTCTAGCAACATAAGGTCAACAAAATACAGAGATGTTTGTGGTACTTCAAAGTGATGCTGATGTTAAAGTTCAATGGTGATCAAAAAAAATAATTCTGAAAGTCGCTATGACAGTGTTTACATAGATTGCTCTCCGTCTGATTTGAACTAGAACTGTGTCTGAGATGTAGTCTGGTTTTATTTCAGGAAAAATCTTTACAGTTTTGACCCACCCATCTACTTGTACACACAGACTCTCTCTCTCTCGCGCTTGAACACACGCGCACACACACACAAACATCCTTGACTCATCTTTCTGATTCAACCTCGGAATTTATATTCTCCCTCCAGCAAAAGGATGGACCATCTTGGCCTTTCATTTTCCAGTTCAGGCGTTTCTTTTTTTGCAGATAAATGCTCTCCAATCCACCCTGACAGATGTCACATTGCATCACTTCCATTTTTTATATGTAGCCTCTGATCCTGCCACTTTCAATAAGGAGCCAGCACCAGGGACGCCCCTCCCTAGACAATCCTCTGACACGGGCGATTATTTTAAAGGTGCATCACTGATGGTGCCGAGTCGCAAAAGCCTTGCTGGAGCGCGCATGCCTGCTGTGAGATTTTACGTACCGCCTTGTGGGTTGAGTCAAGGAATGACAACGGCACAGGATGGTGTGTAGAAATTACTAGCGAACCCGGTCAATACGACTGGTTGCAGTTTATGCGGCTCTCCTCCTCTTCACAGCAGTAGCTGTTGGTTCAGTCCGTCGCTTTCTCCGCTGTGGCTTTATGGGTCAGAGTTGGAGAAACAATCTGTATAAAGAAAAAATATTTTAGTGCTTCTTGCTGCCGGCAGAAACACACAACGGCGTAGCATTAATCATACAGTGCCAGACCACATCAGTAAACACGGGGTGTCAGGTCAAGGTAAAGATCAGATCCCACAGCATTTAACAGGACTCAATAGCATAAAGGCAATCTATTGAAAAGTCAGCATTATTCATGGCGTGTCTCCCAGGCCTCGGCGCTCGCTGAAGAGACACACCATTGTTCACTGAAGAGTGCGCTGAAATATTTCTCTGGCTTCACAAAAAAACTCTGGATCAGCAGCAATTAGTAGGGTAAGAAAGAGATAAAGAGAGGAAGAGAGGGAGGGCAGCAGTTGAAAAAGGAACGAGGGGAAAAAATGTGGAATCAGCGAGAGGAAAAAGGGAAAGGCTTGAAAGAGAGAGGGAAGAGATGGATGAATAAGTGGGGTGGAGCGGGGAGGAGAGGTGACGAGTTGAAGAAGGAGAGAGAAGTTGTAGGTTCCAGCCAGTGCAGTTTGGTGTGTAGGAGGATGAAGCTGCCTGGAGCCCCTCTTGCTTTTTACATGACCAAAGACTCCCTCATTGTCTTTGGTCTGAGTCTCGTACATGTGTGTGTGTGAGTAACGTCTTCATTATTTCATTGTTTCCCGTTATTTCTTTCTTACACTATGACCACACACTTGCCCGCACGTGTCTCCACGTGGAATCGGACCCCGTTTTATTGGATCTGGATCAGTCCTGGGAAAGAAATAAACTGTGTCACTTGAGCCCAGGCTTCAGTAAATAAATAAAATGGCTACTCTGCAGAACCTTTGAATGTATGTAATATATTTGTTTGTCCCTGTGGTAAAATTGTTTTCACTGTAATGACAGCGTTTCCCGTTATCGGCCTGCTCTCTAATTGGTTTCATAATTGAGGTCAGGTATAATGTAACCTTTTGTCCCTTTCTTTGTTTCAGAAGACAGGAAGTTGTTTGTCGGGATGCTGAATAAACAGCAGACTGAGGAGGATGTTTATCGTCTCTTTGAGCCCTATGGAGTCATCGAGGAGTGCACGGTCCTAAGAGGTCCTGACGGAAACAGCAAAGGTAGGAGACGGGATTCGGCTGTCAGATTTATTTAGGTCAATGACTGACAGTCAAATGTGTGTGTGTGTGTGTGGAAGGGGGGAGGGGGGGGTGGACATCATGTAAATTACAGATGGCATATGGATCAGATATAGGTCAAGCAGCCTGCGTGCTTGACTTGATCTGTTTGATGTGTGAGAAATTGATCAGCTGTGGGGAAAGAAAATACTTGACTTTAACTCTTAGAAGCATTGCCAGGCACTTAGTTAAAATAAATCCACGAAAAGCCTGGACAGTGAGTCCACCAGCAAGTTTCACTGTGGGAATGGTGTGTTCAAACACAATAGTTTGAGTTTGGGACAAAAAGTTACATTTTGTCAGATAATCTTCTTTCACTCACGGTGATGTGGGGAAGTGTTTGCACATCATTGTGCAAAGGTCCTAATTTCCTGTTTTTTGTGTATTTGAACACTTGAAGTGTTTCAGAACATCAAACAAATTTAAAAGTCCTGCTGCATAACCCAAGTTCACCTTGAGCTCCATCTGCATACCCTTGCAGGTGGACAGACATTTTCCTTTAGGATTTTTGGGTAGACTACAGAATTTATGGTTTACCACAGCAAGTTATCCTCAAACCATCACATCTATTACCACATTTTACTAAATGGTATGATGTTCCATTCTTCTTCTTGTGGTATTTATTGACAATTGGCAAACAACTTCATGCATTACCACAACCAAATGGTAAGGAGTGTGGATTATGATTATAATATCTATACAAATAATACCGTGCCCTTCTTTTGTTAAGGTCCTACTTAAGTGAAGTCTTGATTTAGAACAGGTGTGGCAGAAACCACTGTAATTTATCAGGTGATAAATCACTTTTTCAGAACAGGCCAGACTGTTTTTTTCTCCCTTATAAATAAACATCTTCATTTAAAAACTGCATTTTGTGTTTACTTGTTGTTTTTTTCACTAATATTTGAATTGGTCTTATGTTCTGAAATATGTAAGTGTAACAAACATGCAAAATAATAGGATAAACGCCTTTTCACTCCACTGTTTTTGTATTGTTTAATGTTTGTGGCAAACTGCTTTCAAAAACAGCATTTATTTCTTCTTGCCTTTCATCCATAAAGGGACGGATTTGTAGAGCGCACAAGTAATCTGTCAACAGATTGTCCCACTTTTGTCTCTTCACTCCGGAATTACCACCACCAATCTCTGAGCTGCTTCTCTGATTATTTCTCTCATTGCTCAGCCTTTCAGTTTTCTGTTTCACTTTACAATAATATCTTATTTTGTATTAGTCTGTCACATAAACGTGTTGAACTTTCTGGTTTATAGTGACAAAACGAAAAAGGTTCGAGAGGATTAATGTCTTTGCGGGGTCGTGTTTATTGAATATGATGTCAACTACACGTTTCAGAAAAGTTTTTGGATTTCCCACAAAAAATAAAATCTGGATTCATTTACTTTCAAATAACTCCTCAAATCTGTTCTGATCCCACAAAAATAGATATAAACGATATCAAGCACACATAGAATGTGGCTTCCTATTGATCATCTGAATTAATCCAGATTCTCAGAAAAAAAAAAAGAAGAAAAGAGAATGTGACATTAAATTCGAAAAAGTGAGAGTTGCACAGGCATTGTATCTTAACACAACGCAGCAGTCTCGCAGAGGCTTGAACCATCCACTGATGACAGCCAGCATGGTGCTTCTACAAGTTTGCCCCAGGATGCAAAATCTATTATCTTATTTCAATCCATTTGAAATTTGATTAATTAACATAATTTTGGTTTGCAGGATGTAGTTTGATGAACCGTTTACCAACAGCAGAACTTCTGAACTTCCATCCATTCATCTGTTGTCCAAGCTTGCAACGGACAAGCTTGGACAACGGATGGGCACCAGCCCCTACGCAAGACCGTAGGGGCTGGTGCGTGCCAGTAACTGGGCAGGAGGCAAAGACACACAGAACAAACATACATCCTGTCATTCACACTCACTTCTAAGGTTGATTTAGAGAGATTTATTAAGTTAATGATATAAACCATCATATATATATATATATATATATATAATGGTTTGAAGTCAAACTGGTTAGGCTCTGTCAAGGTTTAGCATTAAACCATTAAAACAAATATCCCAGGGAAGTTGATCAGTAATGTTATTTTTTTATGTCAAATATTATTTTTATAATTGTTTTATTATAAGAATTACAATAAATACTAAAGTCAGTTGTTGTTGTTTTAAGTTGTACACCTTTAAGAGTGGACATTTTATGATTAATTCAATCGCAAAATTCCAGTTTCTTCAATTGAAATATTTTGGTTTATGGTTGGGCACAAAAACATACTCTTAAGGAAATATGTTTATTAACAGCTACTCATCTGTGATGCCTCTTTCATCATATTTAGTAGTCCCCATCTCTGATGAACGTTCATAGTAACAAGTGGTAGCATCTAGGATTTGATTTTAAGAGACGCATTAGCATGTAACGTAGGGAACTCGGGTTTTGAAGAAAGACCACCCATCCCTCTTTAAATACGGCTACACCAGCTAGGCATGGGCAATCCATATATGGAGGGGTAAAAGGCTAATTATAGCAGTACATGACCCCATTGTAGCAAAGACCTTGTACAGGTCATCAGGAACTCAAAGCTTTTTCCTATCCACATCTCAGTAGGAGGGAGGCGGGCAGCAGTTTGGCAGCTGAATGGACATCTTGATCGGCTGGTGTCCACAGTGGTGTGCCTATTAACAGGAGAAGAATGGCAAGGTGACTGGGTCAAGCAGGACAGACGATAAGAAGAATAAGGCACAAAAGATGAAATACTAAGAAATAGACAATTCACATGACGTGATATTGGGTGAGAGTGCGGTGGATCAGTGACTGACTCTGCTTCACTGGAACAAACAGAATCACTTTTCATGTTTTCATGTTTCTGTTTGGTGATTTTACTTTTTTAATGCTTTTTATTTTCAGTTCAAAAGCAGTGAAGGATTACTAATGCTCATCAGCAAAGTCCAGCTGTGGAGTCGTCTTTTTATTTCTTTTTTCCTCACAAAGACTATCATACGTTTTTAAAGACATTATACAAAGAGCATTGTTTCTGTGATTTCTGAGCTTCCAAGTCTTTTTCACATCTTCGAATATTGATCAAAACGTGTTCTGCAATGGTTTTTTCTATTTGATTTCATTCTCTTTAACTGTGATTTAATATGAACAAAGAGGAATGTGGTGCTAAATAGCGAGCTTTTCTGCTTCATCAGTGGTATCTTTGGCCTGCAGCTTCTGCTCGTCTGCCTGCCTAATGCCCAGAATGGGGGGGAAGCTTGCTGTGCAATGAGAGCCTCTTAATGCTCAGTGATTTCTTCAGAGTCAGATTTAATTCTACAGCTTTTATTAATGTTACCCTAAATATCCACATGCGTACATATGGGTATGTATGTGTGCATGCGTTTGATATGCATCTGCTCTTTCTTCCAGGTTGCGCCTTCGTCAAGTTTTCTACGCACACCGAGGCTCAGTCTGCAATCGGCGCCCTGCACGGCAGCCAGACCATGCCAGTGAGTACAGCTCGATCAGAGACGCACGCTTCTTTTCAGACACACACAAAACACAAAGTTACTTATAACGGCTACAGTGCGTCTCAGAAGTTTACGTACGCTCAGACTTGACAAGAATATTTTAATTTTAGTTTGTGGTTATTTATTTTAACCACTCTAGACTGTTGATCCAACCTTCAAGATACTTTAAAACAATAATCTGATGCACAAAGTTAAACTCGCCACCAATGTTAAAGCATGGTGGTGTTGCTGCCTCCACCATGCTTGAGAGCTACAGTGTTCTTTGGTTTGAAACTCGCACCATGTGCATGTTTGGTATCACTGGAAATTTTGAGTTTCAACCATCTATTTGTTGACTTAAAGTGAAGTTGAGGAATATTGGAGGGTTTTCTCTATTTTAACTTTTCTGTCCTTTAATGTGCAAAACACAACAAAACATTGTGCTACTAATTCTTTGTATGAAAATCTAATTTTGACTGATCCAAAACTACATATTGCCATAGTGGGCAAATATGTTAATCTTAGTTTTGTTTGACAATCAAACTTATCTCTATAATCCTTTTTGTCTTGTCTGAGGGGGGCATTATTCCCTTCCTTGTAATCAGAAACATTTTTCCAAATATAAATAATAAATGGATATCCCAGTCACACATTTTCCTCCAAAAATGACTTTATATGATGTACTTAGTGAGTGTCCGACCCGGAAAGGTAGCCTTTCCTCTGTGCTCTCGCGTCTGTAGCTTTGTTGTGCATGAATGCTGTGTGCTGCTGCTGCTGCTGCTGAATAGAAAACCAGTGTGAGATTACATTTTCTCCAGTGTTGTTGTCTTGCCTTTCTCGTATCTGCCACATGAATCATCCAATGGCACAGGTGCTCATACTCTGAGCAACCAATCTCCACAATAAACAATGTTACAGGATTTTGCTAACATTTTGAAGTGCTGGGAGGAGCAAGTGTCAGTGAACCTACATTGTTTTAATTGCAAACCTCAAGATAGTGACATTGTTTCTGCCAGCGCTTCCGGTGCAGAATGTCAGTCACACTGAAGTTTCTCGTCATTGTGTTGAACACACTGGGATTGAAGACACATCATTAGGCCTCTCCTGTTTTCAAACGGTGCAATCTTTAAAAAGTGTTTGCATCTTAAAAGATGCCTGTTGGAACAAATCAGCATTCAGAGGTTCCACCCTATTAGTGCTGATGTATGAATATATTTGAGCCTAATTGTACAAATTGAAGATGAGAGAAAATCCACAATAAATTTCAACCTGCTCACTCAATTCTTGGTTATTTTAAATTAATTTCAGCTGTTAGTCACATTTTTATTCCAGCTAGTATCCCTCCTTCCACTAGTCTCAAAGTTTAATATTTCTGTGACATTCATGGCCACTAAGATTGTATGTAAACTTCCTGATTCATCTCAAGCCATGCAATTTGAACACATAAAGTTATACGCATACCATCTGTGAACACCGATGCATGCAAAAGTCCTTTGCTCTGTCTCTTTAATTACCAAGGTACTTAAAAAAAAAACAAGAAAAAAAACCCCTCAACCTATATCCAGATAAAACTGTTAAGAGTCATAATTGAATTTTGGGTGAGTCATCAATCAGCAGTTCTGCTTGCATAATCTGTGAATAGAAATCCAGTGTGAGATTACATTTGCTCGTTGTGTAAGCACACTATGTCCTCTAAATTCTCTCTGCATTTGATTTACTGTGAGCGCACAAACGAAAAAAAAAAAAAACAACAAAAAAAAAAACACTCTAGCTCTCATTTTCATGTGGCTCGTGTTTAGTCATGGTCCCTATATACCTGATGGTGTCAAAATAAAAGCTACCGGCACTGCAACCAGAACATGAAAGGAGTTACTCCCCGTGACATTTAGGAGGAGGACGGGGGAGTCACGTCTTGTATTATACAGTAGGCTGAAGTACAGTAGGCTCTTGTTTGTGTGCTGGTCTTACTTTCCTTAGCTTCTCAGAGATCCTGAACTCTTTCGACCCTGTGTCACAGGTGTTGTGTTTCACTGTGTGATTTCATTATTAATGGTTGCTGCGTGTAGGGAACAGAGAGAGTGCAGTGGGGGTGGGGCGGGGGCTACCTAGAAGCCAGCTGTGCCATCTTGGCGCAACTTTTGAGTCAATCTAAGTGCAAATGACTGCTAGTCATAAAGAATGCCTCTGAATGTCCATTTTCCATAGATACCCTCCTTCTGTGTTGTGCTTTCAGCCTATCTGTGCTAGCGCTCTGCCCTCGCTCGTCTCTCTTTGGCAGCCTCTTGGGATATTAAGGAATAGACTTGTTTACTCCACCTTTCACCACATTGGCTTCTGAATTATTCATCTAACTATAAGCAGGGTGCTGAAGGGAAGGGAGGGGAGGGAAAATCAGGAGGGCGAGAGAAATGGAGGCAGAGGGAGAATGAGTGAATGGACAGGATTTATACCTCCTGCTCCTGGTAAATTGATTATAGAAATCTGATCAGCATCTCATATCCTGTGGATGGGGGAGCAGAGGGCACAGTTGCCTGCCTCTCTGAGATTAGCAGACCAACGGTGGACTATTACGCCTCAGCAGGACGGCGCTATTCACAGCAAAACGTCCATCATTGTAGCAAAGACCCTGTGAAAATTCAGGGAGCACACATCCTATGCGCCTGGGACTGCTGAGTCACACACAAAGTATTTATCCACAAGCACAATATTAAAGTTTGCATTGATCTCAACTTTAGGTAGGTCTAGAAGCAACTTAGATAAAAACAGCATAAAGAAGTAAAAATAAAACTACAGGTTGTCTGGCCTTTATTACAAAGCAGTTTTCTCAATCTTACATACAAAAGACCAATAAAACGGTTCCACCAAACTAAATCGGCTGGATGCGTATGTGTGTGCACTCTGCACTTGCTGCCACTTCAAGGCTATGGCTGATAGCCAGAGTCAAACAGATTAGAATAAATAATGTCTGGCCAATAGCAGCTGTGGCCAAGGTGTAAAAGTGCATTGCATGCTAACGCCGCAACCAGACATGGCAAGTTTATAGATCAGCTGCCAGTCCCGGAAAGCCTGAGCATAGGCTCCTTAGAGTTTATGAGTGTGCATAAATTCACACAAGTGTGTATGTGGATCTTTGCATACATAAATGTGCGCAAACAGAAGTGCTGCCACCTCCTCACCAGGGTCAAACATTCCCTGACTGATCTTATTTCCCGGCTCTAAGGATTTGAACAGAATACATTGTGCTTTTCATTTAGAAGGACGTGGGAGTAATGTGCGTCCTCTGTGTTTGTTGGAGGAAAACTGCTTCTGGTCTGTGTCCATACAGTGTCTCGCTTTTATACCCTTTGAACTTTATTTATATACATATATATATATATATATATATTGGGATTTGTGCTATAAATTACCATACATTAGCATACATTTATTTATGAAATAAGGGTGTAGAGTGCACTGAACTTCAGTCTCACTGTACAGTTGTTGCACAGCCACTAAAAACAGAGAAGCAACATCCATCTTTGACTGGAGCCTCTGACATTGGGGATTTCTGAAATCAGATCACAGAGTAAAACTTTTTGGGAATACCTCCGCAGAGATGTGAAGTACTGCACAGGTGTGAAAGTGCACATGTGTAGAGTACACAAGGTCAAAGTGCATGTGTGTCTCCACAACATGCCCTGGGATGATCACTACAGCAGATTCAAGGCGTTACTCTGAACAGTAACGCAGTGGCGTCTAACTTTTCCCCAATCAGCATCCCAAAGTACCATCGGCTTCCAGACAGCAGCATCATTTTAGAATTTCACTTTTGTACTCACCACTTTACGATTATACACAGCTCTGTGTTGGTCTGTCACATGCAATCCCAGTAAAGTAATTTCTAGGTTGTGGTTTAACTTGGCAACAGGTGAAAAATTTCAAGGGTTATAAATACTTTCCTAGAGTGCTTTTCCAAAGTGCTCCCATGGATGGAGGCTTAGTCTGATACCCAGCAAAAATAATAATAAAAAATTGAGTTGTAAAAGCAATAAAATCTTACTTGAAATTTAGGAATCAAATCTCATCAGCAGGGTCAGTGTAATCTGTTTCACTGAATCTCCATCCCACCCGAGTACTCCACGCTACAAATGGAAATTTCTTCAATTTCCAAACCATCCCTTGGCCACCATTAGCTACTGCGTGCACATGCTTACAAATCTTCATTCCCGCGTATGAGCAGCTCAATTAAACATTTACGTCCGTAGCTGTTGAGTAATTTGCTGAGATTCAGCTAGACTATGTAAAAAGTAGGTCTCAGGATAGACTTACACAGAGACAGGAAGGGGGGTGATGGTATGGGTCAAGCCCACCGAGCCATGTTCATTTTTTATTTATTTTTATTTTTTTAACTCCGTATCCATGTCGTATGAATTCCAGGCTTTTATAGCTGACACAGGCAAAGTGAAATAGAAATGCTTGTAGTGTGATAAAAGGGTGATCTCACAACAAAAGAAAGCAAATAAGGTGAGACTAGTTTAGCAGCGAGAAGCTGAGTGATTGTGAATGAAGAGAAAACAAGTAAAAAAAAAAAACATCTGATGGGATTCATTATGGAGAAAACACATTTAATATTCATCAAGCTCAGTATTTAATTGCTTTTAATGATAATATAGCAGAAGTACAAAACCAACATCAAACATCTACAATTCCAACAAATAATTGAATTTTTTTTTTTTTTTTTTTTGCCAGTTGTTGATATTTTCCATCTGTATTTTAAAGCTAAGCTTGAAAAAGTCTGTCAGTAGTATTTCTACCTTTTTCCATGTGAGGTGCGTTACGTGGTAACTGAGTCCCAAATTGCAAAGACTGTTTGTGTCCTCAGCATTTGTTTTCACCTCTAGTGCAGATGGGAGTGGAAATTATATCCTAACATGCTTTCACACTAAAAAAAAATTTAGAAAAATGTAAAAATGTGCTTTTTATGAGGAAGAACAACTAAAACAGTTTTATGTAATCAGAGACGGAGATGGTTCCATCAGTTCCTTTGTCCAGGAAAGAGACCCAGTTAAACACTGAAGCACTCGGCTAGAAGTACTTTCTACAGAAACAAAAAAAAACAAGAAGAAAGAGCCAACAGACGACATGGTACTAACCCAGCTCTGTTTTTTTTTTTTTTTTCTTAGCACAAATGCTTGCATGCATGTGTTTAAAAGTAATGAGATTCATACCAAAAAAAAAAAAGAAATGAAACTTAATCTTCCTCACTCTCATGAAATTGTGAAGCTTGGAAAGGCACCAAAAATTAGTTGTTGGCAATTAGATGATTGCTGAAGAGCCCGTCTTTCCTTTTGGTTCAGAAAAAAAGTCTCTGTAGTGCCTTTTTATTCCCCCTGTTTAACTCCCCTTCCTTCAGTGGCTCTCAAGGCAGCTGGGAGCCGCCCGGCAGGGGGATTCTGCTCACACTTGGAAGCTTAAAAATTTAATGAGACTTTCACTTCACACTCCATCCTCTTCTCTTTATAGCGATGGAGATTCTGCACGCTGATACCCTGACAGGCTTAAATGGGAAAACCTCGGAGATAAACAAATGTGGCAATGGATGCTTGGCCAACAAGCTCCGAGATGCAGGTGTCCCGAGGAGAGCTGGTGGGAGGCACAGCTTCAGTGTCCTGGGCTCCTAATGGAAAAAATGTGCAAAAAAATAAAAAATGCTACGAGAGAATGTCACACCATGCTAATATATAACCAGATATGTCAGTTGACAAGAAACCTTGTTTTTTATTATTATTATTATTATTATTATTATTATTATTATTATTATTCAGGGAGGAACATCCTTGTCTTGTGTTTACAGAATAGACTTGACTGCACAGAGTCCAACTTAATCTGTTAAGATTATGCTTCTCACTTTTCTCTTGGAAAAGTATATCATCAACATGCAGTTCACATTACCAAAAGAGTGATAGTATTTTTTTTAACTGTAAGAGAGCTTTCTAATATTCAACCTGTGGTAGTGCATTCAGGCCATACACCGATCACATGCTGTATTAGTTAAAGCTGATAATTAGGGTAATGATCCACGTGTAATTTAAAGTGATAGTTTTGGATTTTTGATGTTTGATTCTTCAAAATAGCTTTCGGCAGGTTATAGATCATCTGCAATGGATAAATCTCCGGGTGCATTAATCTAGTACAGATTACACCAAAGCAGACATCTACCGTGTTAAAACACCAAGTTCAAAACAGTCCACCTGTAATTTGCCAATGGCAGAGTAGGAAGTGAACAAAACCATTCAAGTGAATGAATTTCAGGAAATGTCCTAATCCTGAGCATTTTCTGGTAAACTAGCATCAACGTGGTGCATTACCGCTGTGGACACAATTGGATAAAATCTAAAACCTGAACAGAATCCATGCCTCCAGCAAACAACTTGTTTCTCAATAGCCAACGGTCCAGACCCTCTGGACAAAGCAAAGCGCAGAAGGAGGGTCAGGTTTTTCCAGGGCTAACTCCAAAGCTAGTGATTGTTTATATGGGAAGTGAAGGTTGGAGGCAGAGCACAGCCAGTGTGAAACACATTCTGTGAAATGGTGCAAGAAGCTAGTAAGGAGTATTATATAGGTTTCTAAAACCAATTTGATAAATTTTTAACAATGTGTTCTTTTTCTATTACATACTTACGTCATAAACTCTTTACATTTTCTTTTCTTGATCTCTGTTTCACTAAGGAAGATCAAAAGGGAGGCATGAACTCTTGCCTGATTTTTCATGGTAAATAATCAGCAGTTTCATTATAAATAACCAGCCTGGGTTTTAAAAATTCATGAAATAAGATCCACATTAACCACTATGACATTTTTTACTTTTTTTTTTTTTTTTCCATATTGGAGTTATTTTATCATGCTAGAAATCTGCTTTGGTCGTGGCCCCTTCTTAGACCAGCCATTACATTCATCCTCAAAGTCCACCTAATCTGGATGCATCTTTAATGAAGATGCAAAGAGAGTGATGAGAGGTAATATGCTAACTGGTAATAATAACCTTTACCAGAATCTCACTTGAGAAATCCTGAACTATCCTTTTAAAGTTTGAGAAGGATACGATTAACATACAGTTCACATTACCAGCAGGGTAATAATATTTTTAACTGTGAGACAGCGTTAAAATATTTAATATGTTATAGTATATCTCATTATTACTCCAGTCATGCTCAGCTCCGTTCTGTACTTTTCCAAACGCTGTGGACGCTGGATCAATAAAGGTATAACTTAAATCTGCACAAACTTGTCATAGCACATCGTGCTGGTAATATAACACCTGCTTATTTAAAAAAAAAAGTCTTCTGAGCTAAATCATTTTGTTTTAAATGTCACTTTGTAAGATATATATATATGTGAGATACCTTTCCATTCAGTAAGTCATTCAGCTAAATAGACAATCAGTCATTTAGTCAGAGAGCCAACTAATCAACTGGCCATACACCTGCAGTCTTTCAAGCCTGTGATTCAGCAGAGCAAGCCTGGAGGAGGGCGATGGGAGGGAGGAAATATTGAGCAAAGTGGGGAGAAAAGGGAGAAGAAGAGCATAAAATCTATACGCTACAGTCGAAAGGTCCAGTGCCTGTCTTTGGGTATCTTTTGCTCTCTCTGGATGTCTTTATTAGCTGGAGACCTTAGTGTGATAGCAAAAGCACAGACGGGGAAAATTAAAAACATAATGAATGCGGTGTTAATAACACCTGACATTATGGCTACCATTTGGAACGGCATGTTTGCACTCCATCTTTGCTGTACCCCATCCATTCCCAAATACCCACAGTTTGGTTCCGGCATATCAGCCGCCCAACCGCTGTTATTGACAGTCTTGCATCAATTTCATGGGGCTTCTTATCATGCTTGACACACAACCTTTCTAAACTGTCAGAACAGAGTAATATTATGGCCTTTTATGTGGATCAATTGGCCAGTTTGGTGCGTAGAGGGCAGGAAGAAGGCGGAGTACACAAAAGGTCAACCGTGGCTCTCAATCATTTGAAGATTATTAATGAAGGATGAAGTTTGCTAATGAATGCATAGAAGGAGCCACTGACAGGAAGGGAGGAAGGAATAGAAACATCACAGGATGGAAAAGAGTTCACTTAAAACAAAAGATTGCATTTGGAAATTGGATCCAGCTGTGTAGGAACAATTGACCGCTATAGTAGACATTCCAGATCCTGGTGCTTTTAGTGATAATTGCACTTCAGTTTTTAGGGTGCAGTGCCAATCAGGTGTTTGCACAGAGTTACCATTGGCTTAAATATTGTATTATTTTGAGCCTTTTAGGGTAGATTTGTTCAAAAAGCATTTTCCGTTCTATGCCAGGTTTGAAACCTGGTCGTGCCGGAAACACTTAGACTGATTGCTTTTCTTTTTAGGTTTGAGTCAGAAAGTCCAAACTTGAACACTGCTTGGTGCTCCAGCAGCACAACGATTCCAAACAAACATCAAAATTGGTTTTGGAATGAAATGAGAGTGAATATTACACTTCAAAAGTGTTCCAACTCTCAGCTCCACCAAAATCTACAGTATGTCAAATGACCTTATGACTACGGTTGTGTTTTTATTTGTGTTAAGCATTCAAAGATTGACTTGGTGGAGTGCTTTGGAGTCCTGTCCTTCTACATAACCATAAAAACACTTCTCCTTTAACCCAGGAAGTTATGGCTTGGCAATCTCCTTTGGGATTTTCTTTCTTCTCCATCAATTTTTGAAAGTTACCACAGATAATCACATTCTTTTTGATTAACAAAGACTCTATGGGCCTGACAAATGTCAAGTCTGAATGTGGCTCATGAAAAACTGTATTTAATTAAATAGTCAATTAAAAGTTTATTATCTCAGAGTTGTAAATTGTATGATTGTTGCATGAAAAAAAAACCTGTTCAGTTGCATCATTAACGGCACAAAATTATCCACTGATTCCTGTAGATCAGAAGTTGCAGCGTTTTGTGTAAGACGAATAGAAAGTTGAGTCAAATTGAAATTTTGTGTTAACCAGACTGCAGCTGCTTTGCTTCAAGTGATTTTATGATGGAATGAAATGAGGCTTCCCATCTTCTCATCTGCTTACAGAGCTGTTCATTCAATAAGCACACAGTATTTCTACTCATATTTCATAGCTCCATGCTCTTGTATGTCGGATAAAACCCAAAAGAAACCTCTGTGGTAATAAAAATGAGCAATGATGTCGCAACTAAGACTTCCTTCACTAACAACAGAGGAGAAGAAGAAGAAAAGCAAATTGATGTTAATATTGGTTGTTGCTGCTAATAAACATGCAAGCTTAAAACATTTCAAATAATAACGGATGACATTACAGTTGCTTTTTGTTTGGGCACTTTGAAGCTGTTCCTACAATTACCAGACCCTGGTTGGGAATACAGTGTAATGCAGACTGTGTTTTTTTTTTTTTTTTTTTCTTTTTTTTTTTTGGCTGTGTCAAGTATTGTGAGAAGTATTTTCAGAAAAGCCCCTCATTCTTTTTCCCCTCTTTGCGTTTTTCTCTCCTTCAGGGCGCTTCTTCCAGCTTGGTGGTCAAGTTTGCCGACACAGACAAGGAGCGCACCATCAGACGTATGCAGCAGATGGTAGGGCAGTTTGGCATCTTTAATCCAGCCATCGCCCTTCCCTTTAGCACCTACAGCTCTTACGCACATGCGGTGAGTTGGAAAAAGCACATGTTACACAGAAATTTAGAGAAAACCAGAGAGCAAATTGTCTTAATCTATTGTAATAGCAGGTAAAGTTTAACATCTGACAGTGTTCTCAGAGTCTTGCGATATTTGCTTTGTAACAGCAGAAAACTGTTTTTATTTCACTGTTAAACGTGATCATTTACAGAAGATAGTACTGGGCATGTGAAACAAACAGCTTCTATTGTGACACTGTTGACTGTTATTTAAGAAGGACTAAACATGAGCTGTGAGATGATGTGTTGATTTAATTGTTGCTGCACTTTCTCCTTTCGTTTCATTTTCATGGGTCCAACAGGAGACGAGACAGAAATAAGACCACTCTGTTTAACACTCATTTAATCTTTAGTGCTGTCACTTTGTTAATTTACATCTGGTTATCAACATGTTCCTATAGTGTCTGAAGGATACAAAACATATTATTGGCTTGCATTGCTGGTGTTAGTTGGCATCAAAAGAAATGAGGAAAATGTAACCTTCAATTGGAAAACGCTCCACGTTGGTGTGATGCAATTCCCAGCTATGAATTATGATTTTATAGACAAAAGCAGAGTTTGCGCCGTTAACCAGCCTCATCGTTGTTGATGGATAAAAAACAGTGCCATACTAAGTTTCTTTTAAAATAAATGTAACAGGAGAGTTGTTTCAATTTTTACTTAACTTTTTGAAGTTTACCAGATTGCCAGCAGCAAGACTCCTACTATGTAGGAGCATTATTATGCAGTGACTATTGTTTTTAGACATGCCAAAAGTAAGGCCAGTTGATGTTGTTCTTCATAAATTAGACCATGGCACAGTTGAGTAAATTAATAACACTGATTATTTTTATGGAAATATTCATGATTAAAATGTATCAAATATACATTATTTTCTGTGGAAAAAGCAAAGCTGTATGCTCATAAACACTTTGAATGGAAGTTGTGCCTCACGATGGTATATCTGGTTATCTTTGGCAAATATTACAAGCTCTGTTCCCTGCTGAAACACAAAAGCTTTTTGTTTAAACTGATTCACATGAAAACATACGTATGCACATACAGCACGTATTAAACCTGCACAGCTCTGAAGGTTTGAACATCCAGCATTTATAGCGTCACCATCTGTCTGCTGCCTCAATTTCTACCTGGCATTATTACATCTAGAGCTGCCGAGATCCAAACATGTTCCAGTCCCTTTCTTTCTTTTGAAACCAAGACACACTCTGTAGTTTTTATTTAACGCTTATAGCACTGTGGGATGACAATTTGCAAAGTTTTGATTTGAATGTGAACATGTGAAGGGGTGCTCATTGTCTAGTCATCATTAAATAGGTGATGGGTACATTGATGTTATTTAATGAGTTGAAATGGTTTGATTATCGTTGCTACATTTAAATATTTACAATTACAAACACACGCAGTAGGGAAAGCAAAGATTGTTTTAAATTTTAGAATAACTCTTTAATGCAATTATTGTTAATTTGACAAACTAACTGAAATAGTTGCACTAGCATTACATTAGAATCGGAATAACCTATAAATGTGACATGGTAAACTACCCAATACTACTAACTAGTTCCGTCTCTGTAAAATTTCACTTTACACCAGTGATTTCTATCTTTGTGATTCTAGCAGCAATCCACTTTCATCAAATTTTGTTACAGAAATTCTCTAACAGATTTCCCTCTCTTTGCGGCAGTGCCATTACGCCCGGACCTCCAATAGGCTCAGCATGTCGGCATGTGCACCTTTAGTTAGCCGTGCCCTCCAACCTCTTCATCAGCTCTCCCCTGCCCTCCTGCCACATCACCCCCACCCCTCAATGCGTGACATTATACACACACAGCAGACCGCCGCACTTTGTTGAGTTCAGACAGCCTATGAACCCCTCTCTCCATGCCCCTCCACCCATACGTTGCCTTTCCCTCCTCCCCCTCCCGCCGTCCCTCTTTCCAGGTCCACAATGTGCTGTGGGCTCGCCCTGAATATTCCACAGGCAACTTATCTGTACACAAACTTTCTTCTTTCCTGCTGAAGAGAAGCGCATGTGGAGAGACCCCCCGCTCTCGCAGCTTACACGCATACACCTGCAGACTGCCTGCTTGAAGGACAGTGAAATGAATTTAAGAAAAGCTTCCCATCCTGCACTGAGATAAAAAAGCATGGCATCTGTGAGGAGACACTGCATAAATGCAGAAAATAATACATACATTGCACAGAATACACTTTCTGGAATGTAGTTGTATGAATTAATGTCTCATCATCTTTCAGAATATATATATATA